ACTTCCAGTACTCTGTTGAATAAAAGTGGTGAGAGTGGACATTCTTGTCTTATTCTTGACCTTAAGGGTAAAGTTCTCAGTTTTTGTTTTTGTTTAAGATTTTATTTATTTTTTAAGTAAACTCTCTCCCCAACATGGGGCTCAAACTCATGACCCTATGTCTAAGAGTCTCACGCCTCACTGACTGAGCCAGTGAGGTACCCCGAAAACTCCACTGAGTATGATGCTAGCTGTGCCAAGACCTCATTTTCTTGCTGGCTGTTAGGTGAATGACATTCCCTGCTTCTAAAGGCCACTCATATTTCTTGGCTTCTGGTCTCTCCTTCTTTCTTCCATCTTCAAAGCTAGCTAAGCTGGGTGGAGTCTTTCATATCCTCCCTTTTCCATCTCATTTTACTAACCCATCTGGAAAAGATCTCTGCTTTTAAGTACTCATGATTAGATTGGCCCTACCCAGATAACCCAGGATAATTTCCTTGTCTTAAGACCTGTACCCTTAGTCATAGCTGCAAAGTCCCGTTTACCGTGTCCAGTGATCCAGGTACAGGTTACAGGGATTATGGCGTAGACATCTTCGGGGGGCATTGTTCCGTCTACTCCAGAACCCATGTTGTTTTCCTCCCACAGTACTTCCTCCAGAAATTACTTTTACTGGTTTGTGGTTTCATTGGTACTTGTTTAATTATAAACAGTATTCCTTTGGTTTTGCTAGATAAAACTACTGTAAGTGACTAGTGCTTCATGTGTGTTTGTAATAAGAATGAGTGAGTGAATGAATACATACTGTGCTCTCAGATCTGATAAACTGCACATTACAAAAGTAAAACAAACTCCAGAAAGACAAACCACCATGAATTGTGTCAGCAGAGAGATCCTACATTGCAGAGGGAATTGTTGAGTTTATGGAATGGTTAAACAGGAGGTAAGGAATTTCATTATCACTAGCATTTTTGTCCTTTATCTAATTACTGTAATTGTGTAGTGGTATATCAAGACTCAGTTACAGTCTTTTGTGTTAATTTAAAGTGGCCGTGAGAAAATAAAATGGAAATGTTTCTTCATCCCTCAGCATCCTTTACAGAGTCATAGAAATTTAGAGCTGGAAGGGATCTATGGCCAATTCTCTTGAGCTAAATAAAGGTAAGATTGCTGCCTAAAGGAAAGATTGGCTGAAGATTTTAGAATTTGACAGGGTAGCTTAAATCGTAGTTTTGAGATATAATATTGCTTAAAGTGAGAGAAAGCAATAAGAGGAAGAATATTCCTTGCTCTTGATTGGCAGTGGCTGAAATACATTAATTTTCAAAATGTGTAATTATTAAAAAGTATTTTCCATAGGATCTCTGTGAGAATAAATAATAAACTATAATAAGATGTGAATTACCTTAGTTACTGAATATTAAACTACAAAGTACAAAAACAGATTTAAATGGAGAGAAAAATCTAGTGCATGAAATTGAGGTCATATGTGCTAGTGATATATGACTTACAGGAAGTAATAAGAAGGGGGAAAAAGAGAAGTAAATGGTACACTTTTAAGCTGATGGGACCTATTTTAAGGGTGGAATTTAAATTGCTGTTCTTTAAAACTTGAGTTCTTACCCTCCCCCAACTATATAAGGGGGGGGGAACCCTGATCAAAGTAAATCTCTCCCCTCCCCCCTTCAGAGTATACTTCTTAAAGTGGACCAGCAAGCTGTCTTTGTTTGCTGTTCCCGAGCAGAAAGACGTGATTGATACCATTTTTATATATTTCAACTTCCTCCCCCTGTACTAATTTGAATGAGAGGAGCCTTTATAAAAGAATAGTGTCATAGGTTAAATGCATCTGCCTGGGTGTCTCTGCAGCCTGAGGTTGTAATCCTATGACAACATTTTATTTGCTCAACATCTTAAATACAGATGTTTGGATTTTTTTTAAACTCAGGAATAGTGTGCTTTTATTAACGGTATTGATGATTGATTTTGAATGTTTTTACTTCAAAAAGCCAAATCTCCTAGTGGGTGGAATTTTATGAAGCACCTGTTAAGCTTTAGGGAGGAGGACCTTTTTGGCAGCAACCCAAAATACATATTTAAACAATGAGCCTGCCAAAGTCAGGAAATTATAAAACAGTTTTGAAATTGCAGAATCTGCCTTTTTTATTACCCTCAGGTTTCTTTTGCAGCTTAGTTATAAGTTCTTTCACGTGGGATTTACTAATGTTTAAGACCAGATTTAGAAAAATAAAATCAAGCTTAGAGATCTCAGGTTTGTGTGATAAAAGACCATCACATTTTAAACTGAACTGTCTTCCAAAAAGTGTAGGCTCATACTCCCTAAGCCTTTTGGAGAAATCTATGACTCTGTGTAGTCTGGGTGGCTTCCTTGAGTGGTGTTGCCCCTCAGGGTCTCCACTTTTCCTCTGTGATGTGAGCGAAGCTAGATGAAAAGTGTGCCTGAAACAGTGTGAAAAAGCTGGACACTCAGGAAAATGGGGGAAGCCTGCAGGGGTGTTGCTTCTTGGCATATTCCATTCGACCTGGATCTTCCAACTTCTTAACTCTCAAGTTCATGATTTCTGCTTCTACTTCCAAAATTTAAATGCAGGACGCAGAGGCAAGAGGGCAACAGTATCTTCTTTGTATGTCCCAGCAGTGGGATATTCTCTGTATAATATTTTTTTTTTTGCATTTGTAATTGTATTTTTAAGCAGCTCGTTTTTTTTATTTAGCTGTCATTTTAAGTTCTGTGATTTTGAACTTCATACTTTCCTCACAGTCCAGCAAACCGGCAAACTTTGTGTAAATGGTGGTTGATGAGGAGGGCCAGGGCAGTAAGGAGATGAACAGAAGGCACAGGAATGAGAACGTGATTGGAGCATACGTTGTCTTCAAGTTCTCCAAGACTTGTGATGGGAACTGGTATAAATTTCCCAAATTTCTCTTAGGGAAACATTTGTATAGTCACTCAGTTACGTACAGGGGGGAAAAAAAGGCCGAAAGGGAAGCGTAATTCAGATTCTCTGATGTTGTTGTATTTTCCAGTTCTTTAGGTCTTTAACTGACATTATCACTCTCTGTTAAATATGAGGGAATGAGAGTTGAAAAAATCTAAAGCCGCATTCCCATAAAGCAATTTGCTTTTTATTCTTCTAGGACACCCATCCTGTTTGAAATTTTGTCCTGAATTAACAACAAACGTAAAGGCCTTAAGGTGGCAGTGCATCGAATGCAAGACATGCAGTGCATGTAGAATCCAAGGCAAAAATGCAGTAAGTATGGCTCTCAGTAGTCTATCTCCAACTAAATTGTGAGTTTTCGGTGTTAAGGTTTTTATTTTTGTAGAGTGTTGCTATTTTGTTTTAAAGATTTAAATACAATGTGATGTCAGATTTCAGCAGGGATCGTGCTACCCCTTCATTATTTTTGATTATTGTTCGTTGGATAAGAATTTGTGGCCTTTCACAGCTGATTTCAGTCTCAATTACTCTCTAATATGTTATCTTACAGGATAATATGCTTTTTTGTGACTCCTGTGATAGAGGATTCCATATGGAGTGCTGTGACCCCCCACTTTCCAGAATGCCAAAAGGTGAACTTTTAAACCATAGTAAAAATGTGTTTTATTACGTACTCATTAGCCTTGTCCAGCCCAGAGGTATACAGGTTCCATAAGCATTTATTCATCCCTCCCACCCTCCTTTTTCCTGTGGGTTTGGCACAGGTTGTGGACAGAGGAGTATAAAAGCATTTAGTTTGCGGGCAATGTATATAATAAAGACTCTAATTCAGACACAGGGATAAAGAAGAGCATTCCTCTCCCAAAACCATTCCCTTATTAGAATAAATTTAGATTAGGTATGTCAGAAGTTTAGAACATTCTCCATATTATTCAGTACTGTGTTCAGAGGTGAGAAATTACCTATTTTCCATAATGGTTGTAATGATGTCTCCAAAGTCCTACAACAGGAGCCATCCCACGTTTCTTGGCCATTAGTCGATAATGTAAACATGGGCATATGAACTCTTTTATCTGGATATATCCATATGGCATATGGATTTTTGTCTCTATTTGTTGTGTAAGTAAGCCTAGCTCAGCCTCCTTCTCCTCATTTTATAATATATTAAGCATTAGAAATTACTGCCTCTTTATAAAATTTATTCATTTTTTTATTGTGAAAGATTTAGTAAATACAGATTGACAAAAAGGAATAAGAAAATCAGAAATTCCTTCCCAGCTCCCTACACACTTTTTTAAAAAAAAGAAATGGAACATTCTATACATGTTTTTGTAATCTTACGTCTTTTCCATCTTTATAAGATTCTAACGTCCCCACATCACTAAATGCTCTCCTAAACACAGTTTTTAATGAGTGCATAAAACTCTATAGTATAGAGCAGGCGTTACACACCCGGTGACTGGGAGCCGCAGTTAGGCTTTGTTGGGAACAACATACATCTATTTTAAGACTCCTTTAAATGCACTGCAGGCGAGCTGGCACAGTATTTTTAAAATTTTGAATTTGCGTCTTTTAGGTGGAGTATGCATGTTCCAACTTGCCCCAATCTCACTCCTCCCTCTTGTCTTGAATTCCAGCTTGCTTCCGTCACATGCATTATCCCTGGGTGGCTCCTGAGCATATTTGATTGTGCAACCCCATGTATAAACAAACCATAACTTACTTAACCAATCCCCTATGGTGGACATTACAAATGTTTCAATTTTTTCCATCCACAATTATTTCCTTAAGATAAATTCCTAGGGGAGGAAGTGCTGGATCAAAGGCTATGTACATGAAATGTTGTATCAGTTTTCAGACCGACCACCAGTGTGTGGGAATACCTGTTTTCCTGTATTATGACCAACACTCACCATTACTATATGTCATTAAGTCCAAGACACAGTTTAAAAAAAAAAAAATCGGATGCTTTTTGTAGGCAATAGTGTCTCAGACTCAATGAAATACAGTGCTATTATTTAAAATTTTTACCAATGTGATAATAGAAAAAAGATGTCTGGTAATTTTTTTCTTTAAGCAGTGAGATTGAAAGCATTTTGTGTTTGATTATTGGCTGTTTGTATATCATCTTTGTAAAATGCTTGTTTTTACCCATTAATCATTTTTCTCTTGGTGTTTTCACCTTTTTCTTACTGATTTGTAGAAGCTCTTTATATTTTTATGTAGTCCAATCCATGAATCTTTGTCTTTATGGCTTTAGTCTTAAATGTCAGTCGTGCTAAAATTAAATATCCACGTATTTTTCCTGATACTTGTAACATTTAATTTTGTCATAATATTCATCTGCATAGAATTTATTTTTATAAAGGATAGGAAGTAATTCTTTTCCTTCCTATAGATGGCTGTTTGTTCTATCACCACTTCACTGAGTCATTGCATCCTTTCCCCAGTGACTTGAAATATGACCTTTTGATATGCTAAACTTTTTTATAGGCTTCAGTTGTTTGGGTCTAAAAATTCTTGTCCAGTGACCTATTTCCCTATGCCAGATGTATAGTTTTAATTATTGCAGTTCCAGAGTACTTAAAAATTGTTTTAATTCAAAAATTATCTTTTATACTGATACTTTCTTTTTTTTTTTTAGTGTGGAAGAGTTCCAGAAAGAAATAAAAACAAATATTTTTTTTTTCCCCAGAAATTCCAAAAACCGATTGACTTGAAAATGTGTCCCTCTAATTGAAAGATACATAATATCTGACAGGATCGGATTTTCCTGTGTGTTTGTGTGGTGGAGGGAGGTTTGGTGACATGTTGCGAAAAGCCTCATAGAAGGGTTCAGAGATAGGGGCAGCCCTCTGCTCTCACCACCTTGACCCTGGGGGGAAATTGACCTTTAATGATGACTTCCTGAGGAGGATGACACAAGGGAATGACCTACCTTCTTGAATAAAGTTCTGCATATGGCACCCTTGGGCAGCTTATTTCAGCTGCAGTTTATATTTAATATCTTCTCCTAAAATGAAACATTAAAATATTTTTCTCATATATATATTAATTCAGGGATGTGGATTTGCCAAGTCTGCAGACCAAAGAAAAAGGGAAGAAAACTACTTCATGAGAAAGCTGCACAAATAAAACGACGATATGCAAAACCCATTGGACGACCGAAAAATAAATTAAAGCAACGATTGTTGTAGGTTGAGATCTTATCAAAAGAAATCTTTTATGTTGTGCTTTAAAATATAGGCAATTGTAACCCCCTTAGATTCCATTAACTTTTTAGCATCATTTTACAAACTCAAGGGATGAGGAATAGTTCTCCTTTTGCATAAGCTGTGGAAATTTTTTGAAAATAATATTTTTAATTACAATTGGCATTTGGGGAGCTTCTGTTGGCAGTATCTGTGATGTAGCAGGATGGAAGCAGAATGTAAGAATTGGAAACAATCATTCTGCCTACTTTATTACTGGCTGAGCATTAGAAAAGCTTAATTATATAAATATTTTTATGGGGATTTTAAAACAAGAGAGAGATTTATTCACATCTATGAGTGAATCTCTTTTGTCACTCCGGTAGCATTTTAGAAAAAAAACCTTCTCTTTTCTGGTGCTAATTTAGTATTACAGCATTTAAGATCCCTTATATGAAATAGGAGCCTCTGAGAAACCTGTAAATGACTGTCCTCATGTTTGCACACAAAGAGTTAGAACTGTTTGGTATGTGCACATGTGTGCAGACATAAACATATGAAATAGTATGTTCACAGGGGCCTGCACATCTACTATGATAACTTCATTTCTACTAGCCTATGGCCATATAGTTGCCATTAAAGCCCAGTAGAACATTTAGCCAGAGTTACTTAGATAAGTAGAGGAAGGATAAGGGGAGAAAGGATGTGGGTGTTTTTTTTTTAAACCTTTAGAATATAGAATTGACTATCAACGTTAAATAGGGAGTTGCATATCTAAAGGAGTTCTGTCACTAAGACCATGGCCCTCCTCTTTAAGCTTAGTAAAAGGGAATAGGTGCTCTCTGCATACATTGTGAACAAACACCAGATATCTTACTTACTTGCTACTCTTCCCCCTAATTTAACTGAAGCAATTCACTACCTTACCTGCTCTCAGAAAAACCATCAACTCCTGCACCTCTGTTTCCCAACGGAGAAATAGAAAATGCATGTTCCTTTATTGTTTTTTTTTTTTTTTTTTTATGAAAGCCCTTTAACTGGTGGACATTTTTTAAATGGAATTTTTGTTAATTTCTCGGGGCAAACATGAAACGTTTATTAATAACATCTTTCATATTAGCATCATTTGAAGTAGAAATTATATGTTTTTGCATTCATCCTGTGTAAGCATTGTTCTCAAAATGGGACTGTATCCTCAGGGCCCAATTAAAAATACCAAATTAGGATATAAACTTTCCAAACAAAGGACACAGCTGAAAATTGCATCTGGCACCAGTCCTAACTTTTTGTTTGTCCAAAATTGTCCTTTGAGCTTAGGAATTTTTAAGACAGTCTAGGGAGTTTTCCTTTTTACATGCTTTATAAGCATCTTATCCTTTCTGGGCAATCGATTCCAGATACAGTCCAAATGCAGCATTCTAATGGGAAACATTTTAGCTCAGATGATTGTTTATTGGTAACCCTCACTGTGACACTAGAGATCTCCAGTGTTAACCTGATTTGGCTGGATCATTGGTGTAGGGCAAAGCTCTTGGTGGTGGAGCTGCCTCAGATGAGCCCAGTAGCTCGCCCCGTTGCTGCACCAGAGTCCACTGCAGCTGACCGCTGAAATTGTTCGTTAATGTTCAAGATGACCATTAACATGTGCTCTTCTATTTATAATTAAGATATTTTTATAATGGAGTATCATATCATTTTCAGGCTTCCATTTCTTCATTATGAGCCTTCAGCTAAATTGATAATTTTTAAAGTGCATTCTTGGGCCCCGGCACTGCCATAATTCACATGCAAATGTTTCTATTGTATAAAATTCTGCTGCAAAATGGGTAGCTTTCTAAGCCCTAGCCTGAGGTGAAGGCAGGCAGCTGCTGTTCCTCTAAGCAGCTGTGGTAGCGGAATGGCCACTGGTCTCTATTGACCACACAGCTGGATGGGCAGAACCAGCCTCAAATGAGCTGAAATAGTGTATAAAGATTCTAATGCCAAGTATCTGATAAAGACCATGGTAAATGTGCTGCTTCTTCACCAGACTTTTCCATGTCATGTCTGACCTGCTGTAGCTTTTCTTTAATCATTTCTTCAGTTTTTGCTATTGTTGTCCTTTTTTCAGCAATATTTTATGCTGTAATTAATTGTCTCCTCGACTTAGAGAGTATTATTGGTTATCTTACCATCCTAAGCATAAACTGCCGAGAGGAAGAGGATATCTTTAATGTTTTCTTTAACAACAACAACAAAGTACTAATTTATAGACCTACCCAAATTCTATTTATATAAATTTTCCAATTGAATTAAAATTGCTTCTCACTAGAGATTAGATGCACTTTTCACGTCTAGATAATACTTAATGACTTATGTCCTTTACTGCCTTTTTTTTTTTTTTTTAAGATTTTATTTACTCATTTGAGACAGAGAGAGAGAGAGCATGAGCAGGGGAGAGGCAGAGGGAGAGGGAGAAGCAGGCTCCCAGCCGAGCCAGGAGCCAGACGTGGGGCTCGATCCCAGGACCCTGGGATCATGACTTGAGCCGAAGGCTCAAGACGCTTAACCATCTGAGCCACCCAGGCGCCCCAAGTCCTTTACTACTTTTTAAAAGACCTAGGAAATCATAACGACTTGTGACCACATAGGGGGTACCATTTTTAAGTATAATGAAAGCATTGTGTGTTCTTTGCGTTGCTTCAAAAATTGTCTTACTTCTATGGCCCCTGGGTCCATGCGGCTTCTTCCAGTCCTTCTTGGCTGGGCCCTGGGAGGATCATGACATGCACATGTGGTGGCCGCTCCCCTTTTGAACAGAGAAACACCTAGATGGAGGCACACACACACACACACATAGTTCTGAGGGTTGCAGTTCGGCTTCTTAAGTTTAAGCACATTGAATGCATCTAGTTGCTATAGATTTGTTTTAGATACCTTTATAATTCTATTATTAAATGCTGATACTATTCTTTAAATTTTTGCCTAGGTCTGTAACCAGTGATGAAGGATCCATGAATGCATTCACAGGAAGGGGGTCACCTGGTAGGGGTCAAAAGACTAAAGTCTGTACCACACCTTCATCTGGTCATGCTGCATCTGGGAAGGACTCAAGCAGCAGATTGGCTGTTACAGACCCCACTCGGCCTGGTGCCACCACCAAAATCACCACCACCTCCACCTACATTTCTGCCTCTACACTTAAAGTTAACAAGAAAACCAAAGGGCTCATTGATGGCCTTACTAAGTTTTTTACACCATCACCTGATGGTCGCAGATCACGAGGTGAAATAATAGACTTTTCAAAGCACTATCGTCCAAGGAAAAAGGTCTCTCAGAAACAGTCATGCACTTCTCATGTGTTGGCTACAGGTACCACACAAAAGCTAAAACCTCCACCTTCTTCACTTCCACCCCCAACCCCCATCTCTGGTCAGAGCCCCAGTTCACAAAAGTCCAGCACCTCCACTTCTTCTACCTCTCCCCAGAGTTGTTCTAGCCAGTCCAGTGTGCCCTCCTTTAGCAGTCTGACTAAGAACAGCCAGCTGAAGGCACTCTTTGATGGACTCTCTCATATCTATACCACTCAGGGACAGTCTCGAAAAAAGGGACACCCAAGTTACGCACCACCCAAACGTATGCGTCGTAAAACTGAATTATCTTCCACGGCAAAATCTAAAGCCCATTTCTTTGGAAAAAGAGATATTAGAAGTAGGTTTATTGCTCACTCCTCCTCCTCTAGCTGGGGGATGGCTAGAGGACGTATTTTTAAAGCAATTGCTCACTTCAAGCGAACAACTTATCTTAAAAAGCACAGGATGCTAGGCAGATTAAAATATAAAGTGACCCCTCAGATGGGGACCCCCTCACCAGGGAAGGGGAGCTTGACAGACGGAAGGATTAAACCTGATCAGGATGATGGTAAGCAAAAGGTCAAAGCTCCAACCAAACCTGCGTCCCGTCCCTTTCTCCCCAACCCCGAAAAAAATAAATCAGTCAATTCCTATTTGTCACATAGGTCTTAGCTATTTCTCTCGTTCTCACTTCACTTTCATACAGAAGCAGTGAAACTTTGACCTTTTTCTAATGCTGACTAAACCTCCAAAATGTTTTTTCCCAACTAATACTCTCCCACCTTTTATTATTTATTTCCATCCGTAGTGACACTAGGACCCCCAGATGCCTCCGTAGTGTTGCTTACGGCTTTGTAGTCCCGCATGAGTAGCCGCTGTCACGCTTCTGCCGCGTTCCCTGCCGTGCCGCCGCCTCGGCCATGGCGCTGCTTGCTTCTGTGCCTCAGTGCCTCCCGCTGCGGTGGGGGGGGGGGGGGGGGGCCGGCCCCCCTTTTCCCCCCCCCCCCCCCCCCCGGGGGGGGGGGGGGGGGGGGGTGTCAGCTCCTCATTGCCGCTCCCTCTGCTCCATGGCTTTCTCATGACCGAGTCCATCCTGCTTCCTTCTCCACAAAGCCTGATCTGTGATTCTGTGAAGTATGCTTTTGGGTGTGTGTGTGTGTGTCTGTGTGTGTATTCACTGTAGGGAGAAAACGGATTTCATGATTTCATTTAACAAATTGGCCCGTTGCATTGGCTACCCTTTATAAACCAAAACAACAACAACAAAAAAGAACCAAAAATGTGTCATTTCGACAAAGCGGTAGAATTTTTTTTTTTTTTTTTAATCTCAAAAGGGATAATGGGAATTCTATAACTAGACATTGATAGAACTTCTAATCTCGGCTGAAAAATATGATTTTTGCTTTGTATTGCTCTTTCCCTTGTTTGTTTGTTGAAACTATAAAAAGATGACAGTGGTAATTCAAATAAAAATTTGGGTACGGTAGGGAAAGGGTACTGCTGGATCTTTTGAGCAGTACTTAGATATAAAAGCTTATAAAGCTTAAAAAAAATCCCTATTTGCCCACTATGCTAATTTGGTGCCATTTTGGTAATGTATGGTGGTTACTCATGATTCAAGTCAGTGAATGCACTTTCTGCTGGTTTTAAATGACAGATACTGAAATCAAAATAAGCATCAAACAAGAAAGTACAGATATAAATGTGATTGGAAACAAGGATACCGTTACTGAAGAGGATTTGGATGTTTTTAAGCAGGCCCAGGAACTTTCTTGGGAGGTAAGGCCAGGATACCGCATTATAGTAACAAGGATAATACGTAATTTTTATATTTGTGACTATTACGAAATTACTGCTTTGATTTTACAGTGAATCCCCCCTCAGAATCCTTTGTGGTCCTTTAACTGTTATCATGATTGTTGTTGTTGACTCTAGCTTCAAAAGCAGAGTGACTTTATAGAGTTGTCTCCACTCTCAAAAGTTGATAAGGGCTCAGCTGGTCTCAGAAAATAGACCAGAGTAACAGTAGTTGAAGCAGATTTGGAAAAATGCTTCTAGGTATGAAGGACCAGATTTCTGATTATTTTTGTGGAAATGTAGAAAATAGCAGTTTTAAATGGTTAAAAAGAACATCGCTTTTAAATTTACCAATGGTTCTTCCAACACAGATGGCCAGCCATATGAAAAATGTCTCGTAATTTTAACACTTTGGCATTGATTAAGACAATATTGTGTTGCGTGATCAGTTATAGTCACTTTTATTTTCATTGTCCAGTAATTTGTTTAAATGATTCCACTTAAAATAGTAACTCCAGGTAGTTTATTGTCACCAAAACAGGTAACAGGTAAGGCTTTTGGACTTTTCGAGGTCAGATTTATTATGGAGCATGAATTTGTTACATCAGTAGACCACATTCAGTTTCTATGGCAAACTTCACAGACAGACCTCACTTTCTTTTTGGTGTGGGGGGGGGCTACCTGTAGGCTCTCAAGCTTTATTTTTAGGAGCAGCCACTTGGGCTAAATACTTCTGACAGTTTCTAATTTAAGGGGCTGTTGGATATTTCCATTCCTCATCTGCCCCATTGCCCCAACAATACCCTTTGTATTGTTTTCCTTTGGCTAAGATAAATGTCAGAAATTCCCCCAGTTTCTTTGATCTGAAGTCCTTAAATACTATCAAATTTTCAGCCTACTTCTGCTGTTCATAGATAGACCTGATGAACAATAGGCCATTATCTGAAAGATGCTGTTAAATTTTAAGTCCTTTCTTTCCAGTACGGTAACATCAGCATTTCACTCATGAACATTTGTCTGTATCGGGCAGGCACAGTTCTTAACCTCATATAGCTTACTGCTTGGGAGTAAGGGAAGTAAGAGGAGATGGATATTAAACTGCAGACTTTAACAATTGATGATATAATTACAGTTGGGATCACTTTTAACTTCATGGAGGAACAGGGGACTATAAGAGTGTCTAACAGCCGGATCATCTTCTAATTTACTCACTTTTAATGCATTGCACCAGGTCATTAAATTCATCCAGTTCAGTAGACATTCGTATGTATTTACCTTGTACTCATTTCCTGTCTTGGTAATACTGTTTCTTAGGGTATTAGTTTGTTTATTATGAATCTTATACAAAGTTGATGATTATTTTACAAGGTCCTCTAATGTGTTTTCAACAACATGAAAATTCCCCATGAAGATTAGTGTCTGTTCTTGGTAGGTTTTCATATCCACTGGTGAAAGAACCAAAAGGTAAGTGAAGAAATCCTCTTCTAATACACACATTTTTATTTCCTTTCTTTTCTTTTCTGTGACAGAAAATAGAGTGTGAAAGTGGAGTGGAAGACTGTGGCCGGTACCCTTCTGTAATAGAATTCGGGAAATACGAAATCCAAACCTGGTACTCCTCGCCTTACCCACAGGAATATGCAAGGTAATGGAACAGCCCAGAAGGTATATAAGTTGAATGTCATATTTGTGAGGAAGGGGAATTCTCAGTTCTGAAGCAGGAATTAGGTGATTTTCAGGACATAAATTTTGATAGTTGAGTCTAAGCGCTTCCAAAACTATTACTTTTGCCAGCGTCTTTTTATAGTAGTTGTCACTGTTCTATGTAAACTCCTTCCACTCCTTAGTTACACGGGCATTGTAAATTTTGCCTTTGAGCTACATGCTTTCTCCTCTGGTTAATTGGACAAATGTTGTTTGTGGATGAAACCATATAAGGAGAAAAAACACTGGCCACTGTAAAGTAGTTGGTGGTTTCTTCTCATTGCCCTGTTTATTTTCCTAATTAGACCTGTTCATTTATCTCTGATATCTGACATTTTGTTTTCAAGCTTTTTACAGAAATGTAGCAGAAGAAGGAAAAATGAAAGAAAGTAGGTGGGGGTGGGTAACCTTAAGAGACCCTTCCACAAATCTTTACTTTTAGAGCACTTTTAGAGCCATTTGTGACTAACTTGTTAAAAATGAAGAGAAAATAATGATCCTAGAGTTTTCTTTTGTCTTGAACTAAGATTAGCTGTGAAATTGTCTTGAACTAATATGTCTAAAAATGGGTATCTTGTGAACAGATTTCTTCCTTCAGGTATATCAGGATATACTTTATTAGTATCTTCTCAAATGTTTTAGCCTGTGAAGTTTCTGACAATCACAAACTTGCTTTTCTTCTAGAGTAGATAATTGTCCTTTTCTCCATCACGTTGGTGTCTGGCCCATCATCTACTGGAGAAAATGGGGAGGGTGTTTTAGAAGTTAAGTGGCAGAGTAAGAGTCAGGAGTCTTGGTTTCTCTTTCTAGCTTATATCACTTGGCTGTGTGCTCTTGAACAACTTTTTAAAAACACCTGTGAGCTTCAATTGGTATGGGTAATCATAAGTCATGTGTTCTGAGAGCTGTAGCTAACTTTCCCCAAAACCATTCTACCCATTCTTATACCCCAAAGACCTAGAAAGTGCTTCTAAACATTTTCTTACAAGACTAACAAAGTGTTTAAGTGTGATCGGGCACACATTAAAAATGTTACAATTTTAAAGGTGGAGAAAAAGTCATCATGGGAGAGAAATCTGTTTGTATAATGTTACTTAGAGTCGGTGGAATTGGTAGAAACAAGATCTTTTTATTTTACATTTATTACTTTAGATATATATGTTTATGATAAGACTTTAAAGTTACCTCATCCATCAATAGAAATGTTAACTAAATTCTAGGACTTCTCTGCCTTATATAAGTACACAGATCATTTTTAAAAATAATGAATTCACTTCCCTCTGAGTAAAAGATGATTACAGTTACACCACTGACCATATATACTATTCACACTATGACATTAAATCTGAAATTTGAAAAATACTCATGTTCACCTGACAGCAGGTCATCCTTATTGATTTTTCAAGTAGTGGTTTCAGGTCTGAAAACCTTTTGGTCTATATAACATTTCTAAGGAAACAAATGATTTGTTCACAAAATGATGGCAGCAAATATTATTATATTGAAAAATAACGTGAGCTTTGTACATTCTCTTTACTACTGGTTTTCTGTTTTCTTTTTCTTTTCTTGAAACTACTTCTTCCAAATACTATTGCAGCTTTATTATGACTTGGAGAAAATTGAACAATATTTAATATTTTTTCCTGAACAGTATAATCAATCTGATAGATTCTTTGATTTTAAAATTTTAACAGATTACCAAAGCTTTACCTGTGTGAATTCTGTCTTAAATATATGAAAAGTAAAAATATTTTGTTAAGACACTCAAAGAAATGTGGATGGTTTCATCCTCCAGCAAATGAAATTTACCGAAGGAAAGACCTTTCAGTATTTGAGGTAAGCATGTGTAAATAAAAAATTCAGCTTTTGAGACCTAGTTCTTTCAATTGTTGGTTATGTTCTGATTTGTTTCTAGAAGGTGCACAGTATATTTGATTTTGGCATTCGAATTTAGACTGCTCTTTTAAAGTATCTCCGTGTTTTGGAATGTTTAACCATATTGAACAGCCATTTAGATTGATGATGAATTCCTACTTCATCACATTAACTTTTTTGTCTTCCCCCAAATCCCTGTCTGCACCAGATATATTCACCAGTGAATTTATGATCTTCTCAGCTCTTTGTAAATTCTGCTTTCTTTGGCAGGAGAAATTAGCTTTGTTCAGCAGCTCCAGCCAATGTCTGGCAGGTGCTCACTCTTCCGGGGAATTGAGCAGCTGTACATATCTCCTCAATACACAACCACCTGTGTTTCCATCCATTTCTTGGCACGGTGGATAATCCTTTTGGTGAGACCCTAGCAGATGTTGGGACTGCCCCCCTCATCTGGGTAGATGGCCACCCCTGGAGAACTCTGCTGTTCGCAGGAACCCCTTGTGGCCATGTGTCTGTCATTGTGGGTTCTTAAAGACATTTTGTGTTTTCAGAACTGATTTAGTAGCAGAAGGTCTTTGCCTGTATATCGTTTCATTGTTTCATCATGTTCTATTGTCAGTTTCACGGATCCAGTTTAGCTGTGTCACTTGTACCTTGAGGAGACCAAGCCTTTCTTTCATGTTCTTGCCTATTCTCAGGGATTCTTCATTCTCTCCTTTATTCTTGTTCCTCCCTTTGAGCATTTCCATTGCTCTGCCTAATTCCCTTCTCTGTTACCTATGTCGGTTTTCATGCATGGGTGCTCAGAACAAGCCCTCTTACACAGCAGACATGATGTCTTTTTTTCCTCTGAAATACAGTTTTACTTTAGGTTTCTCTATTTTTGAGTTGTTCAGACTGAAATTTATTATTCTGCCCCACATTTCACTTTAGTTCTGGTGGGTAATGTCTCGCATTATATTTAATATAGGGGAGGGTCCTACAGAGGTTTCTCTCATTGACTAAGCTACCTCTCACAGACAAGCCAGGGCCTGCTACTTTTTCCGACGGCCAGTCAGAGAACACAGTAACTCCAGCTGCGTCTTAGGCATTTTTTAAAGACCTTCTTCGTGGTTGTATCAGGCTCTTTTGGTAAGCTTGAAGGAAGAAGGGTATTGTTGCTGGGACGATTTAATGATATATTAGTACTTACGAAAGGATAGGTGCAGGGTTTCTCAACCTGGGCACTATGCACTACTCAGGCTAGATAGTTCTTCGGTGTAGGGGGCATCCTGTGCATTGCAGGGTGTTCGGTGGCATCCGTGGCCTCTACCCACTAAATGCTAGTAGTACCACATTGCTTCCAGCTGTAACAAGCAACATTTTCTCCAGACATAGTGTCACTTGGGAGGCAAAAGTACTCCCATTGAGGCCCCCTGGGCTAGAGGGAATGCTGAATGCAAGTCATTTAGTTCATCTTGGGACGTTACTCAGTCAGCCCCCACCAGGTGAGACAACAGAGCTATTCTCATTTGAGGCTTAGAACTAATGTCACAAGTTCAACTTTCCTGTTGGATCCTTCCTTCATGCCTTGGATACTTTCTTAAAACCGAAATGAAATGAAAATCACTGTCTCTTTGTTTCCCAAAGGACAAAACACGTTGTTGCCTTTAAGTAACGGTGAAGAAAATCAGCATGAACCTGCGTGTGGGCTTTAAGCTCTCACAAATCCTGGGAGAGTCTTCTCCGGGATAAGAGAGTCAATCTTGGTAGTCTGATAGCAATGGTCTGCAGGTGCTTTTGAACCATCACCAAGATCAGAGGGGAAAAATGAAAGACAAATTAGTAAAATTTATGCATAAAAATATTTGAAGGAATTGGATTATCTGTGCCAAGATCCCTATTCTAGAATCCAAGTTAATACTTAGAGAACAACATATAAGAAACTTTTCTCTTAGTAGTTTCCTAAGTAACTTTTACAATAAATGAAGAGTAATCATAAATTAATACTTTCCTGTCTTTATCCCTCTTGAAAGCATGCATATTAGGCCTTACACAACTGATAAGAATTTGCTTCAGCATCATCGTCTGTTTTTCTGGCTCATCAACACCTACATCTCTGTCTTTCCTTTTTGTAATGTCCTACCATTTCCGAAAGGACCGGACTCTCAAATACATAAAAACTTCCTTTAATTAAAGAGAGAATTGTATCCTCTGTGTCCGTTGCCCATATTTGATTATGTTGCTATGCGTGGGACCTAGGTTTCATCCAAGGGAAATAGTTATATGAAGTCTAAAAATAATTTGCGCAATATGAGAACCTGTATGGTCCACAGGAGACTGGAGAACGGTCAAAATCGTTGTTACAGAGCTCTGGTTAGCAAATATCCATTTCCCCTAAGAATAGTGCTAGGGAAATTCTTGAATCTGCTGTGCTTTTGGTTTTCAACAAGTAACTACATTTGATCAAAGAAATTGGCATCTGTGCCTAGCCTCCTGTCTATAACCATCAGTATCACAGCTTGATTCTTTTATTTTGAAGAGAAGTAGACTGTAATCATGGTACTTATTGTAGGTTGAAATTCATCTCACTTTCTCTGTAAGTATTCCCAACATAGAAATTTTATCTCTTCCAATTACATTTAAAATGATGCTTGGGATAAAACCAAAATGGAATCCTCTTTTGCTCATCTACACTTCCAAGGAATCAGAATAATACTGTTCATTTATTTTATTTTTACATGAAGTCCTTTTGAAAACAACATAAAGTTTGACTTACTTGAGCGGTATTTTGATGTGTTTATGTTTCTTTAATTCAGATTTATTTGGTTCAAAAAGAGAGGACATGCCTGATCGTTTTTTACTTGTAGTAAATTGCAAATAAGAATGATGACTCTTTCATTAGTGGTTTCGGCTTTCTTCAGGTAGCCTAAAGAGAGATTTAAGCTAACTTAAATTTACCCTAATTTAAGAGAAAAAGTGGAATTCTTACTTGCCAAGTGACGGCTGTTTTCTGGTTGACTTTATACTTGTTTAATGGAGTAGTTTAATCTCTCAGTTTGGGATTTGGAAATAAAATTATATGCTTTCCAAAATACCATATAAAAATAATTTTATATTGAGCGGTATTTTTATGTTAAATAATGTTGTCTGTTTCTCTTTGCTAGGTTGATGGGAATATGAGCAAAATTTATTGCCAAAACCTTTGCTTGTTAGCCAAGCTCTTCCTGGACCACAAAACGTTGTATTATGATGTCGAGCCATTCCTTTTTTATGTCCTTACAAAAAATGATGAAAAGGGCTGTCATCTGGTTGGATACTTCTCTAAGGTAAAACAAGAGCCAGTATGACCTTCATTTTCTTATTCAAAATGTTTTTGGTAGAGCCCAATTCTTTGAACAGGGTTTTTTGGGGTTTTTTTTATGACTGTAATTTGAGTAAGTGAAACATACTTCTGAAAAGCTCAGGTTCTTGTTCAGAGCTTATTTTTAAAAAACAGAACAAAACAAAACAATAAACATCGTGCCTAGAAAGTGTGTAAAGGACCTCAGCAGTGTTTGCTCTCTTGACTTTTAACAGCCATGTAACATTATAATTGCTGCCTTGCAGACCACCTAGCATCTTTGATTTTTTTAAATGTTAAGCTTATTTCCCTTGCCCCCTCTCAGTGGTGTCAACATGAAGGTTTCAGCGTAGGGTAGCATTTAAGAGATGGTTCTCATTTCCCCTCCTTGTATTCCCTCTGTGGTCATCAGGAGCTCAGTGAGTTGGAACGTTGGCATTTGGACAGTCAAGGTGATATAATGACAAGGTTTACTCTTTTGTCTCTTAACTCTTTATGCTACTGTTTTAAGATCTGAAGAAGCCTCACCTTTAGAAAGCCTAAGTATCTCCAGCTGTTAACATAGGGAAGCCCTTGACATACTGAGTGGATATAGTTTGTCTTTTATCTTCACATTCCTCTGTACAAAGGCTTCTGATAATAACTCACATGCAATAAGGGAACACTGAGTTTGGAGATATTTACCAGGTAATAAGCTTAACTTTTCTTAGGCACCTAGGAGATAGTTCAATGTGCCAGGATGGTAATTACAAGAGTTCCGTGCACACAGTCAATGATCTGAACCCTGTATTTTATTTATTTTATGATACAGTTTTGCGTATTAGGTGATAAGTGAATTTTAATGACTCTACTCTTGCATAATAAATGGAATGCCTTATGGAAGTGTCATTTTAATGGAATATCAAAAGACAGAGTATATATGAAGGTCCTTTGCAAACTGCAGTTTTTCTAAATTTTAGAATCAACCCAGAGGTCATAAACAAAAATATAAATAAGTGATAGCATTCATGAGAACTAGCCTCAATATTTTAATACACATATTTGGTAAGACTCCAAAACAAAAAAGACGAAAGTTAATTTGCACACAACAGGTTAAAAAAGATGACAGAGAAGTAACACAAAATAAAACAATAAATAGGAAATCTATTTATATAATGCATAAAACATCTTAACCTTTTGTATAGGTTTATAAAGATCTTTTTCTCCAATGAGTTAAAAGGAATAGTGGTCATGGGGTGCCTGCCTGGCTGGCTCAGTCGGTAGACCATGCAACTCTGGGCGTCAGGGTTGTAAGTTTGAGCCCCACGTTGGGTAGAAATTACTTAAAAAAAAAAAAAAATAGTGGTCAGGATGGTCCATCCTCTTAGAAAATGGCATTTCTTGGGGTGCCTGGGTGGCTCAGCCAGCCAGGGTCTTGAGTTCAACCCCACAGTGGGCTCCATGCTGGGCGTGGAGCCTACTTTAAAGAAAGAAAGAAAGAAAATGGTGTTTCTTTCAATGTGTCTATGTTTAGTATATGTGCTGCCGAAGCGAGCACCAATGTGTCCATGTTTAAATGTAGATGCTTAATGGTATCTGCTGTCCTTGTCTCAATGGGTGTACTACCGTTGATGGTGAATCTTACAGTTTTAGTCTCCGCCTCTCTTCTCCCAGGGGACCCAGCATTTTACCTGGAACAAGTAAAACTTTTATTTTACAGCATGGCAGCAACCACTATCATTTCTTACTGTACATGGAAAACTCATTCTTTGGCAGTGTAGCAAAACAAAAATTAATCTTAAAAAAATCATTTTAAAAGTCTAGATACATGCAAATTAAGCCATATTCTAAATGTGTCAATTGGAGTGTGAAGGACTATGGCCCTTTGGGGTTATGCTTAAACCAAATTCTAGAGCTAGAGAATGGCCAACATGACCTAGAAAAGTTCAGCGTTAAGTCATTATATGCATATGAGTTTCCAGGCAGATAATAGAGGACTCCAAACAGGAGGGAAAGAGGGAACGGTTATTTTATCCATAGATTGGAATTTAGCTGTTGTAACGTGTGTCACATGGTGGGAGTGGGGTGCAGGGGAGGGTTGGGCTGGCTTACAAAATCGAAAGGTAGGAATAGTTTGGGGCAAAGAAAAGAATGGCATAAAGGATGAGTCCTTTCCACCCAGAGTACGTCTCTCTTTAGATAGAGTGACCCATTTGTCTAACTTTGCCAAGAAGACTAATTATTTGAACACTAGCCTCTGCAATCCAGTTTCTTAGGGAAACTGACACACATTATTTCTTCCTCCTCATCTCTTAGAGACTCCAAGGACAGCTACAAATGTGCAAATGTTGGGAGCACATCTTTTTCACAAAGAAATCTCTAATTCTGCCCTGTAGGGTTTTTTCCACAATTTCCTGTGATCTTTCAAATAGGTTCATTAAAGATCTGGGTGTTCTGAAGTAATTCTTTCATGTGGTTAGTACCATTTGTGGTCAATCTTATTTGTGGTTTATATTTGGCCAGAGCATTCACAACCTCAAAAGCCTTTTCCAGATCTTCTCTGTGCAGGCTTTGGCTGCTTCTGTGTACTTTGAATAAAATACTGCTGCCCTGATGCCACATCCCATGAAAATTGCAAATTTTTCCTTAACTATAGGAACTGTTTCCCGCTATATTCTTCCCAATCTTCCTTCTGGTTTCATAGTGTTGGTAATATTTTGGCCTCACTTTTGTGTGGAGGCTTTGGGGTTTCTTATTGCCCCAGTCTTTTTGTTTTGATTTATTTTCCCAGTTTGAAATGCAGATTAATTATTTCTCTTGCTTTTTACTTTGACCTTTTATTCATAAGAGAAATAATATCTGCGCAGACCTACCTACCCGTACACTGTTTTCGTTTCCCTGGGGCATTTGGTGAAAGGCAAAAGACAGATTGCTGTCACAGAGTTGTAAGTTGTTCAGCAGGGTAGCCGGCTCAGTCCTACCTTACCCCTCTGGGTGACTCTCTGGATGTTTGGTGTTCTTCCCCCATCTCCCAAGTTGTTTGAGCAAGGAAATCATTTCTTGCGTACTGTCTGTGTTCTGTTTCATTTGGCTCATGTTTACTTGGATTCGTTATTCATATTTTATGCTACCAACTTTCAGGCATAAAGGCGTAATTGAGAGGCGTGCCTGGAGTTGATGGTTTGTAGTTAGCTGGTAGTTTGATTGATCAACACAATGGGGGTATTCTGCTTGATCCTGACCTAAAACATGGGCTCACCTTAGTGAACTATTGTACAAGGACGGTGGCAGGTGCAGGGAATTGCCCACTTCAGCAGAGCTCTGACACACTTGATCTGTTTCTCCTTCCCTCAGGAAAAGCTTTGCCAGCAGAAGTATAATGTCTCCTGCATAATGATCATGCCCCAGCACCAAAGGCAAGGATTTGGACGGTTTCTCATTGACTTCAGTAAGTGAAGTGCTTTACTTACTTTCATGACCCAGGGAGCTGATGGCTGTTAAAGGAAAGAATAACACATAAAACTTTATTTAATGTACTTTGTTGTTTTTATCAGTAGATAATAGGCTTTCTCTTTATATTTACATAGGTTAGAAAATCTTCCTCAAGTGAAAAATTTACTGCTGCTCACTTATCGTGCTCTAGGAAATTGAGACTAGATTTCTCGGCAGTGTCACCAGCTCACAAAGCCATGACCCTGAATGAACCGGCAGAATTCCATTCCATTCCGTGGCGCTCATACTCATTAGCACCAGAAGAGGCAATTATTTGTGATTAGAGCTAACGGAAGTATTATTTAAAAGGATTTTCAGCTTTCTAAAATTTTACCTATAATCTTACCAGTACAGAGCAAGAAAGGGATATTTCTACTTAGAAAAACAATTCTTTAGGTGGCTTATCCTTTGAGTCTTTCTAGTAGAAATAACTCTCTTACTTTGTTAATTTCCCTTTTTCTATTACGGAAATTATACAATGTTTTTTTCTAGAAGGTTGCCCAAGAAATATTTTTTATACACATTTGTATCTTTAGAGTCTCTTCAATTAAAATTGGAATGATATACAAAAGGATGCATAGGATAATGTAAAAAATATGGGTAGTTTTTTTTCCTCCTTGTTTATATTATATGGGGTGTGTAAATGGAGTGCTAAGGTTACATTGGCAGAGTTCATTTCAAAATACCCAGATAACACAAAGGCCAAGTATCCATGATAATAGTAATTTCTGACCATGTAAAAATCTGTCACTAGGAACTGTGTGCTTCTTCATTACCAGATTGTAGTTTGTCTGATTTTAAACTGAAAGAAGGAAAATTTAGGAAATTGCATAATCTTCATAAGGTACATCAAATGCAAAAACCACAATATAAATGTGCTCAAGGAAAATCATGAAGAAATACGTTGAGTCCAAATCTTTATTACTAGATATTGAAATATTAAAGTTGAGGTATAAAACGACTGTATAGCAGTTTGGGACAGATTTGCACAATCTGTTGACATTGAGAATACTGTTCTTTTTTTGAAGTATTATTTATCGACTATTTTTATATTTTCAGTTAACATTTCTAGTTATTAATTCATTTTCTTAGTCTTATCCTTTGTTTCCTGATCTAGTTCTCCCATGGAGGGCCATCTTACCAGGAGGTCACCATTTTTATTTTACAGAGTTCTAGATGTAATCGTTCTATGAGCAAATCCCTTTTTTTGTGTGGCCACCATTTATAAGTTGTTGCATAAACATTATGGTTTCTGATATGCATAGCAACAGTCCAAGCCTTAACCTTTTGGTACTTTTAGCATCTGCGTGCCTACAGAATAAGGCAAACTCCAGAGCTCAGTATTCAAGGTATCCTAGCACCTACTTCCAGCTAATTTTTTTTAGGCTTTTTCATCTGCTAATCTCTTTTTCCTCAAATATTCTGAGCATGTTTCCATATTTCCATTCTTTGTCTATGCAGTCCCTTTCCTGAAGTGACCACTTCCTCCTTCCCCAGCCTTCGTCTGTTCAGAATCCTACCCATTTTTAAGAGCCGGATCAAGAACCTCTTCTATTTGATCCCACCTCCTGGAGATTGATCTCATTCCCTTCTTGGCTCCTTATCTCTGTAGCATAGCACTTAGACGCAACGCCTGCTTTAGTGGTGATAACTGATGTGTCATACTTCCAACTGACTGTAAACTCCTTGGATACCTTCTTTGTTTTCAATAGTAAGACAGTATGATCAGTAATCTGCATTCAATGTATTTTTCTTGATTTGAATGGAATCTTCCAAGTGATACATGGTACTGCCCACAGTGATTTTCTACCTAAAATTTAAAAAGGGATTACTACTTAATGGATAAAAATGCAAGTTTCTAAATACAGTAGCATCTTATTTGTACAGCATGATCTAATAGAGAAGCCTTTTACATAAGAGAACAACCAGGAACAAAGACGTTCCCTTCTGTATTTGAGTCTACCCTGTATTTTTAAACCAGAACTCTGGAACTCATTGGAACCTTTCTAGATTGCTCAGGGCCATCATGATGAATGCCATCCATTACCGTGTGTCTGGGTAGTACAGTGCTGCTGAGGGTGTAACTTTTAGATTTTTCTCTTCCTGTACCCTTGACATTGCCCCTATGCTGGGGTGGGGTAAGGAATGTGGTAAATTATTTGAATAAAGTTGAAAAGGGCTTGGTGTTACTCCTTCAGAGAAGAGGAAACTGGGGGAAGAATTTTATAATACTCAATGAAAATGGGAACTGGTGTAAACCCAATAGAAATTCAATTTAAAACAAAACAAAACAAAAAAATCCTTGGCCACAAAGTTTTAAAGAAGATAGAGTAGGCTGCTGAAAAAATTGGTAGCCTCTCCTTCTTTGGAGTTACTTAAAATAACAGTAGATAAATATCTTTCTAGAATGATTTAGATCCAATCTTGCAGAGTAAGGAGATAAACCACATGACCTCTCATAATCCTTGTCAGCCTCATAATTCAGAACTCAGGACAAAACAGATAACCAAGGTTACTGGTTTTCTAAAATGTGCGTTTGTTTTTTTTTTTAAGGGACATTTTAATTGTTAGATTTATTTTATTTCTGTTTTGTACATGAGCCTGAGGATCTTTTGGTCAGGGGATGTATTTTCAGTAATTCAAATAAAAGTTGTACGGCAGGAAAATATTTTGTCTATAGTAACTGCCAGTTTAGGAAGCTTAGATAAGAGCAGTGGGAAGAAGGCTGTAGCTGCCCAGCTGCCTACTTACACACTGGATTAGAGACATGGGTGCCATATGATGTGAAATGTGTAAATGTATATAAAAAGCTGCAAATCCCAAAAGTTTGAACACTGTTCTCCAGGACCGTCCAGAGGGGGAATGGTCATCCATGGGACCAAATGCTGCCCTTGGAATAAGTTGTTGTCTTACTCTTCCTGGAACAGCCTGTCTGGGGTTTGCAGAGCAGGGCTCCCCAGGAGGTCATTTGTGGAGCTTGGCCAAAGTGACTAAACAATACCAACTCCTGGCCCACTCATAAACCACCTTATGGGTTTTGTGATTCTTTGCTCAGAACTTAAGTGGGTAGTGGAAGGAGTGACTGTCAAGGTTGAAGTTGATACCCCATCTCTCTTCTCCTGGAATCTGAGATTCCTTCTCATCCCCATCTCTGTCTACACACATGCACACGTGCACACACACACACCATACCCCACACCCCACACCACACACCCCAGTCATGAGTTCATATTGTAACCTTGCATTCCAGATCAGCACCACCACAAGGTTTTATTCTGTCTTTCCACATTTCCATATTTGTAACTTAGACTTAGATGATCCAGGGTGCCTGGGTGGTTAAGTGTCCAGCTCTTGATTTCTTGATTTCAGCTCAGGTCATGATTTTGGGATCGTGAGATCAAGCCCTGTGTCGGACTCCATGCTGGACGTGGAGCCTGCTTAAGATTCTCTCTCTCCCTCTGCCCCTCCCCCTGCTTGTTTGCTCCCTCTCTTTAAAAAAAAAAAAAAAAGATTTAGATGATTAACAAAAAATGAAAACACAAAAACTTCGAAAGTAGAAGAAGAAAGGATATACAGTTCTCTGGTCTTTGGATGGTCTAGGACATCCTAGCACAAAGTGTTAATGCAGCGAAAGAAATCACAAAAGAATATACAGATGGCTTGACTATGTAAAAAGGTAAAATGTCTATATGGTAAAAAGTATTAATATTTAAAAGCAAACATAATGGGAAAGATGTTTGCAACAAACATGCCAGGCAAAGCTTTGACAGCTATAGTATTTAAACAAATATTTAAAAGGAAAGGTTTGATAGCGTTAAAGCATAAACCTTAATAGAAAAATGAGCAGAGGCCATGAATGCAGAATGCACAGAAAAGGAAACTCTTTGGTGGCAGCAGCACTGCTGACATTTGCTGAGTGCCTACTGTGTGCCAGCCACTTTCCTAAGAGTCCTGACTCATTCCACCCTCACAACACTGGTTGAGACATTTTAATCTTGCTTTATGGGTGAGGAAACAAGGCACAGCTATGCAAACAATAAATGGCACCACTCTAGTTTGAGTCCGAGCACTTGGACTCTAGACCACGATGCTCCACAGTCTGTCAAGTACAAATGGCTCATTAAAATATGAAAAAAAAAATTGTTGGTGATTTAAAAATGCAAATTCAAATAACTGCAAGATTATAATTTTTTGCCTACCAAATTAGCAAAGATTTTTAAATATAGCCAAATCTAAGTTGACATAGGTGGGCTGTTATATTTACACTGGAGAAGGTGTAAATTGGTAGACGTTTTCCAGAACTTTGACATATATATCAAAAACATTGGAAAGGAATTTATTCTAAGGAAATCAATATACTTTAGTCACTGTGCATTAATTTCATATTTAATGTAACAACATGTTTTGTATTCGTTTTTTAAAGAGTGGACTTCCCTTCTCCTTTCATCCCTTCCCCCAATTATAGCAGTATAAACTCATAGTAGAAAGTTAGAAAGCACAGATAAAATACCAAGAGAAAATTAAATCCCCCACACTTCTGTTACTCAAAGAGTTAATGTTTTGGTACAGTTGTCTGTCACAGTGTCATTGTTTATAGTAGAAACAAAAAACTGAAACCCTCTCAATAGTCAAAAGTAAGAGAGAACCATTTCCCTGAGAAAAATTATGGTACATCTATATAACAGAATATTACTAGCTATTAAGAATTATGTTCTAAAGAATTTTCAATAAAATAGGAAGATGTTTATGATAAATACATGGCTTTCAAAATTGTATATATATATGTACTCAATTACAAAAAAGTATATGCAGAGAAGGGAAAGAAACACACTTCCAGATTATCTCTAGAATTAGAATTAGAGACAATTTTTATTTTCTTCTTCATACTTATTGCTGTAAATAGAAAGAAAACTAATTTAAGAATCGTGAAGGCCTGACCTGAGGGAGTGGCAATGG